CGTTCTCCAAAAACTTTAGTGAGAAAAATCGTAAAAACTAACTACAAACATATTAACGCCAAACATTCGGTAGAATTTATAGAATATTGTAAAAATATATATATATATAAATATATATATATATATAATTGGGTTTTTCAGAGTTCCAGCTGATTGTATGTGTATAATTGTGGAATATCTTTATTATATAAATTTAGATTTCTGTGGATGGGCGTGGCTAATTAAATCTTAATCATGATAATAAGCTTGCTAATAAATTTGTGCAGAGTGCGGATTGCTTACATTTTCCATAAAACCGGCGAATGTGGTCGTTTCTTGATATGTTTACAACCAGATAACTTTAAGTTAAAATTAAGTATGATGATGATGTTAGTTTTTGTAGGCATAGCTTTTTGTGTACTTTTAGTGAATTGTTTCCAATTTCTGCAAAGATTAAGTTATAGATTGTTTATTTTTGAGTAGGAGGATAAATAAGAGCTTAAAAACAACGCATATATATATATATATATATATATATACTGTATTGTATGAATTCTACCGAATAATTATTGGCATCAGTCAATTTAAAGTTTGTCTTTTCAGTTTTCTCTATTAGGATTTTCTAGAAACTGTTCAATTTATTTAAAATACAATTATTATCCAAGTTCACGAAAATTTAATAAAACTGTTGTTATTGAAATTCATCATGCAGATAAGGCTTTATTTCGATTTTTCACAAATCATCTTCAGCGCAGGTTTGGTTTATACAGTTTCTTTTAGCAAAACAAAGTTAGTTGTTTAGCAAAGTGGGTTACTTAACTGGTGTCGTATTCATGAAGAATTTGTGAAATCGTAAGAATTTTCATGATTAATGAAAAATCGAAATAAGGCCTATTTGCATGATGAATTTGGATAACAAAAGTTTTATTAAATTTTCTAGATGAACTTAAATAATAATTGTATTTTCAATAAATTGAACAATTTCCAGAAAATTCTAGTAAAGAAATTTGAAAAGATAAACTTTAAATTAATGCCAACGATTCGGTAGAATTCATACAATACTGTATAAAATATGGTCCTCAAACATATGTGTATAAACATAATATATATATATATATATATATATATATATATATATATATATATATATATATATATATGCCGGGAGAAGATCAAATTCTTGACAATAGGAATTATTAACTAAATTTTTCAATTGAAAAATTCGAATATAAGTTGATATACACTAATAAATTGGTGAAATTTATTATATAAGTATATATATTTATATATATATATGCGTGCGCACAGTATTTTTTATTATTTATTGGCATATTTACTAAATTGGTACAGGGAATACATAAGGGATAGGAAGTTATGCCGAAATATATATTTTTTTCTATCTTAATTGATGATCTGTTTATAGGTAAATGGAGTTATAATTCAATTCGTGTTCACAGATTCACTCAATTATGTTTTTGAAAATTTCATCAATTCTCCACGTGAAAATATTAACATTTTTATTAATATTAACTTTTTTATTTTGTTAAATGATTCATTAATATTCTAATTATGATTAGCCGTTTCATATAAATCCGAAGTTTTGAAATATATGTAATTTATTTACAATTTCTTATGTCAGAGTGTGTAAAAGTATTTTCAAAGGATCAAAGCTAAAACATTTTAAAAAGCCTTTGTCTACAATCTGTTTAAGAGAAATTTCAAATTTTTGGCATGTCTTTGAAATAAATGCAAAAGGTATATTATTATAATAATTTAATTTTAGAAGAATTGATTTGATATATATGACAGGTATGTATGGTTGTAAATAAGGAAAATGCAAACAATTAACAAATTTCAATTAGCAATTTAAAAAAATGGTAAAAAATTTAAAAGTATTAAAAATGTATTGACTAAATATGTGCAATTTTTTTCGCGAAATAGTGAAATTTTGAATGAGGAAAATATTGAATCTGCAATGTCAAAGTCAAGAACTCGAATAGGGGGAAGGAGTGCACAGTCGATCACTTTTTACAAAAATGGCTATAACTTAAAATGTTTAAGAGATAGCATCTTCTCTAAATATTTGTTTTATGCCTTTATTATTAAAACTTCAAATTTTACCTAGTGCATTTATCTAATTGGAATGGTTTTGAGCAAAATGGAGTTCAAAATGACCTACTGAAAACGATCGATTGTGTACAACCAGTGTACACATCCGATCACATGTAAGTACACATCCGATCACTACTACAAATACACAATTTTAAGTTTGCCAAGCATTTAATTAAGTGTTGATAAGAATTTAAAAACATACAGAAATTAGTGATTTAATACTGATTTAGAAAACTGTTATAATGTGAATTCTTCTAGTAAAATGTCCTTATGTAGATATAAGTTTTTCTACAATTCTTCTCATTATACTAATCTAAAATAAAGAAATGAATAAATATTAACAGTTTTACTGAACTAGTTGGTAATACTAAACTAGTACTAGTAGAAATAATGTTTTTAAGTGAAAGTTTCCCTTCAAAGGCCACAAACTAGGACAGATTTTCAATGACTGACAGATCAACAGGAAATATTAAATGCCTTGAGGCCCGGGCAGTTCCACCATGACAAACTGGTTTTGGAAGCTTACAAACAATGTCATTTTTATCAATTTCATATGGTTCTTCATTTGAGATTATAAACTGAAATGCTGTAGACTTTTCTCTTTTTAAAAACACAATCATTAGTTCACCATCTCTCTCTGTTAATTTGCCGATATAATGAACAATTTTCTTCTTGTCTGTTTTCATCATCATTTCAAATTTTACAATGACAAATTCACCATCATTAAGTTCGGAAAAATCATACAATAATTCACCTGTTTCTTCAGTTTTATCTCCTACATTATATTCATCTTTACTGCT